CCTTTAAGCAGCTCCTTTAATTCCACATGACACTGCTAAAGAGAACAATTTTTTTTCTCGATCTCGGAGGGCAGGACTACAGTACAATCTCCGAACTCGTAAAGTTCTTCTTTTTTACTTTGCGATGTCGTTTATGAATGGACACTTCCTGATATCTGAGGCAGGAAACTTAGCCTTATATGGTGTTTTTTGGGGTGGTAATTATGCTAATCTCCTCTCGCGTGCACGAGCAGCTGGATAGAACAGGTGGAATTTACGCAGCTCATTTACACACTTTTCCTGAAGATAGAAGAGTTTGTTGAATCTGACGTGACATGTTCATACGAACTCTTTGTACGAACAAAAGTAAGAGAAATTTAGGATAAGAATACGAACATGTTCTTGCATGAGGCCCAATGTTCCTAATGGGGACAAAAGCCCGGTTCACATTGGTGGGATGGGTTTGTGGGTTAGGGGTTTAATTTAGGACTAATATGTAAATTGTGTTTAGGTCAGGTTTAGGGTCAGGTATGTACCTGTGAAGTTAGGTTTGTTGTAAGGGGTCAGGGTTAGGCTATAGAAATGACCAGTAAATGAATGGAAGTCAAAGTATAGTTCCCATGAGGATAGAAGAACAAATGTGCAGGTAAATTATTCGAAAGTTGATTTTTTTTCCTTTTTACAATTCAGTTTTTAACACTGAGATTATAATAAACAATATGTCATTCCAAATAAAGAAGCTATGCATTTTAAACTTGTCATCAAACAAAATGTGACAGATTTTTGCTTTAAGGCGTGTCGGAGGAAGTCGAAATGCCATTTGTATTATGGGCATCTGCATAAATGCCAACATTTTCTGTCAACATGACACTAACCTGCAGGGTTGGATTATAAGCTGTCTCAGTAAAATATAACAATCTCCACATTAACAATGATAAACTCAGTAATGAGTCATTTATGATGAATTTGGGTCAATTTTTATTCTTACTGTCACCGTTCTGCAGTACAGCAACATGATCACATAGATTGGCACATGTGGTGACAAAATGACAAAAAGGAGAAAATGCATGTTTCTTAAAAATAAAATAAAATAAAAATGTTTAAAACAACTTAAGGCATTAGAATTCAGTTGTCTTAAGCTTGGTAAGCAGCCGAGCAGAAACTGTTACAGGATATCCACACAACCTTTATAGACAATGACAGGGAGACTTTTCCACCTTCTAAAAAGATACAAATGTTAAAATGAAAACCTTTTTGCCACCATTAGAGAACTTTAACCTTTCATGGGAGTCTACAAAAGGTCTTCAGTCTAAAACAGGAAGCATCATTAACATAAAGGCCGGCGAGTCAAATTGTTGTTGAAATGTTGCTCTAGAACCCAGAGTCACATTATTCTGACTGGTTAACAAGACGGTGCAAAGAGCATCAAACATCTTACCAACAGAGGAGGAAAATTGTTCTAAAATATATTTTGCAAGCAGTGAATTGTTCTGATAAATAAATAAAAACTTAATTAAAAGAATTATTTTGAATATTTGGATGCCGTCTTCTTGTTTTGCAACTTTTTGGTGTCATTTTTTTGGCACAAAGTGTCTGATTCAGTCCCTGACTTAACAATTAATGTCAAATTATTACTTTTAATTTTTTTTTACACTTTGTCAGAATTAAAGCTAAAAACAGCTAAGAAAACAACTTTGTGAGTACTGGTCCTCTTCTGTAAATTGCCTTTCTGAGAATTTGTCCTTTGCTGTCGATAGAGTGAATCAGTCTGTGTTTCAGTAATACTGCAAATAATTTTTCAAGTGTGAACAAAGGGTGCTGTCTTTATCGGCTTAACCAACAGTAATTATATTAAACAATAAAAGATAGAGCATAATTGGATATTCTTTAATGACCATTTCAGACTGTAACGAGGAAACGGACAAGAAACTGTCTAGTTTGATCCAGTTAGGTTGAGGAATGATACACACGCTCAGACAAAGAAAAGAGCCTTTTCACAGCTAAAAAATGCAATAATTACCGAAAGCTATTCTAACCAACAGGAGCACTTAGAAACCATCTGAAAGGCTGCACCTGCTGTGGGTGCCTCTCAGTTCTATGTGATATAACAGGAAAGGCCATGACAGCTGAAAAGGCTTCTGTTGCTGCAAACATGGAGTGAAAAGTGGAAAACAAGACTTTGTTTTAGTACGTTTTGTAGGTTTTGTGTCAGTGCACTAGACTGTAAAGGAACAAGGATTTTGAAGCAAGCTTTAAGCTTTTCTCGGTTTTTCTTTTAAAAAGACAGCAATACAGTATGCACATTGTTTTTAATCTCCTAATAATAAAAAAGGACCCATTAATAAAATTTGCAAGCAATGGGCAGACATAAAACATACGCAATCTTACCCTGAGTAAACTAAATATTACTGTATTTGAATATTAGAGCACAGTGAAATAAAAATGAGGTGATTATATTTTTTTAAAGCATAAGTAAAAATTTAATAATAAATACATTTTTCTATTTTTGGATATTTAAGGAGACTGTATTAAATTAAAGGAACAATTTTTACTATATTCATTGCACTTTGATTTGCACCTAAAAGGCAACCCATTTTCAGATTAGAAAACTTTGTGTTTTTATCATGTATGACACTTATGCTATAATATTCATGCATTTTAAAAACTGTATTTGTAG